CAGACTCACTGCCACTGAGACACACCAACTCCTAGCTTCCCTGGGTCTCTGTAGCTCTAAGGCCTATGGGAGACTTCCCATCTCTCCTATAGAGCTGCTGGTTGATTCAAACACTGAAGCACGGCCTTTGGGTCAGATCCATTATGGTTGTTGTCTTAGGTGCCATGGAGTATGACCCACTGTGACCTTATGAATAACAGATCTGAACCCTGTTCTATCCGGTGCCATCTTCATACTTGCCGTGTCAATCCACCTGGTTAAGGGTCTTCCTCTCCTTCGCTGATCTTTCACCTCCATCATGTCCTTCTCCAAGGAACAGCACCTCCTAGCAACATGTCCGAAGCATGTGAGGTGAAGCCTCATCATTCTTGCCTCCGAAGAGCACTCTGGCTGCACCCTCTTCAAGACAATCTGTTTATTCTTTTGGCCATCCATGGAATTCTCAGTGTTGTTCTTCAATACCACAGCTCAGAGGCATCAATTCTTCTGTTATCCTTATTCACTGTGCAGCTCTCAGATGCATAGCAAGTGACTGGAAGACCATGGCCTGAATCAGATGCATCTTAGTCCTAAAAATGACATCACTACTCCTCAATAATGTGGAGAAGTCTCTAACTGTAGATTTTCCCAGTGAAATGTGTCTCATTTCTTGATAGCTGGTACCAAGGGTGTTAATTGTGGATCCAAGAGGAAGTTGTTGACAGTTTCATCTCTTCTCCATTTATCATGATGTTACTTATTGGTCCAGTGGTAAGAACCTTTGGTTTCTTGACATTGAGATGCAATCCATACTGAAGGCTGCATTATTTGATCTTCTGCAACAAGCACTTTAAACTACCTCACTTTCTGCAAGCAAGGTTGTACCATCTTATAACACAGGTTATCTCTGATCCTGATGCCATATTCCTCTTTATGGAGTACAGCTTCTCAATAATTTGCTCAGGATACAGATTAAATAGGTATGGAGAGAGAATAGAACCCTGATGAACTCCCTTAATTTTCAACTATGTAGTGTTTCCCTGCTCTGTTCACACAACAGCTTCCTGGAGGCATAGATTTCGCATGAGCACAATTAAGGGCTCTGGGATTCCCATTTCTCTTAATGTTAGCCAGAACTTGTTAAGAGCCACACAATCAAATGCCTTTGCATGGTCAGTAAAGCACAAATAAGACATTCTTCTGATATTCTTTACTTTCAACCTGGATCCATCTGACATCAGCAGTGATTATCCTTGGTGCCACTTCTAAATCTTGCTTGAACTTTTGGCAGTTCTTTATGTATGTAATAGGTCGTTTAATAACTGGAATACAGAATGTATGTAGCTTGAATGCTGGAACACTGGAAATTGTTGAAAATGAAATGGAACACACAAACATCTACATACTAGGCATTAGTGAGATGAAATGAGCCAGCTTTGGCCACTCTGATAATCAGAAAATCTTATGGCAATACTATGCTGGGAATGAAAAACAGAAGAAGAATGGTGTTGCATTCATAGTCAATTTCAAGTTCTATCCTGAAATACAATGTTGTTAGTGACAGGATAATATCCATACACACACAAGGAAGACCTATTAACACGATTATTATTTAAATACACTCTCCTACATCTAGAGCCAAAGAGGAAGAAATCGATAATTTTTAACAAATCTTGCAGTCTGAAATTAAAAATGCAATAAGATGTGTTAATGGTAACTGGTGACTGACTGGAATGCAAAAGTTGCAACCTGTGAAGGATAGTAGTTGGAAAATATGGGCCATACAACTGTGGAAAGAATCACGGGATAGCTCAATATTGACAACTACAAGGTTATAAAAATGTGTGATCGAAAGAAAAACAAATAATCTGGACATTAAACAAAAAGAATAAATTTAAAAAGAAATGGGAAACAAATTATTAATTCCATTCACACCTATTACAAAGCCATTAACCTGACAGTGCTGGCCCTGGAGTGCCGGTGTCTGCAGGCTGCCACACACACTTGTTATGTGAAGATCTAGCAAACACAAGGCAGTTGGAGGAGACACCGGTCTGAGGCCTGACTTTGCATCTTTGATATCAGACTACATCATTGATGCTACTTTTCTTCTTCCATTCTTTATTACAGAAATCAAGGCTGTTTCCACTTGGTAATTGAGCTGCGGTGGAAGTACTTAATAGGGCTCTTCCAACCACTGACTCCCACAAAATGACTGGTGGGAATACGCAGTTAAGGTACTTGTGGTCCACCAAGGGGTTTGGCTAGCTTGCCGGTGAGGCAAACGTTGCTGCTGCCCTGTGCTATCAAGTCTACTGTGACTCACAGTCATCCTACGAACCCAGAAAGGAACCCAGCTCTATCCTGCCATCCTCACCATCTGATATTCTCGATCCCACTGTTAGTCACCAAGTCAATCCACCTTGTAGAGGGTCTTCCTCTCTTTCCCAGTATGTCTTTTTTCTAAGGGCTCATTTATCTTACAGTGGGAGACTCACCATCCTTGCCTCTAAAGGGATGAAACACTTGCAGGTGTAAATCCATGCAAATAAAATGCATGGCACCCTAACAAGGGGATTGATGAGTTTTGTTACTCTACAAGGCTTGAAGGAAGCCAATCCAGAGGTAGAGGAAAAAGGACGAGTAAGGAGCAGGGAGTGTCCTTTGGATCTGGAGTCCCTGCACTGAGAATTTTCTAGACATAAAGAACAGACTGTAAAAGCAGAGGTGGCATGGCCTGGGGACAAGTAGTGCCAAGCGTAGCAGAGTACACTGGTAACAAAAGGACGGGAGCAGAACCAGAAGCCCTGGGAAAGGTAGTTCTTGGCCCTCTGGGCCTTATGAAGTCTTTAGTCAAGGTAGAGGAGGTCAGAAGCCTTGACGTTCTTTTCAGCTGTGGATGGACTACAAACATTAGAAAACCTCCTGAGGCCAGGGCAGTGGGCATGCTGGATTTTCTCTCTTGCGTTGCTTGAACAGTCTGCTCAATGAGCAATGTCCTCAGGCCCAGTAATGGGTTACTCTTTAGCTGGGGAGGTGGGTGTGTGATCGGACTGGCACAGGATTGTCCTTACTCTTCACTTGGGTGTTGTGTGTGACTGGACTGGCACAGGAGATTGTTCCCCCTTCTCCAGCAAAGCATCTGGTGGATTTGAACTGCACGTCTTTGGAATTGCAGTGCTTCTTGCCACTAGGCCACCTGAACTCCTTTAGCTGGTTTATGTTGTGGGAATTCTTGCATTTCCTTCTCGGTCTAACTTCTTCTGACCACTATAAGCTGGATTTTGCACACACTGTTCTCTCTACAACTGCTACTTGACTTGTCCCAACACCCCTGCACTGCTAGGGCAAGAATGGCATGCAGGTAGCTAGGACTCTCTGGATTATTTTTTAAACAATAATGCCCCACCCCCGGGCCCCTAGTAACTGGACACTGGCTCCCATGCTTCTGTTCTGGCCAAGGACTACCTGTAAGTGGGATCCTGGAATAGCTGCCCTCAGTGCCTCACCTAAGCAGAATCCAGTCTCCTCTGTGACTGTACAGCAGCCCACTGCTTGAAAAACATTTTATCGATCCATTCTGTTGAGGCACTGGAGCCTTCCTCCATCTTTTTCATTACTGTAAATGGTGCTACAATGAGTACGGCTGTGCATCTGTTTCAGTCTTTCCTTTTAAGCCCTGATAAGTACCTAGCAGAGTCTTAAGATAATTCTATTTTGAGAAACCACTAAGCTATTCTGGACAGCGCCCTCACTACTTTACAATCTTGTCATCAAACCATGATGTTGAAACTTCTCTTCTTTGTCAATACGATTTCTGTTTTACTAGTGACAGCCACCCTGGTGGCCACAACATGCTGTGTCCTGCAGATGCCTGGCACTGCTCAGATGCTGGAAACTTGTCTAGTGAGTCCCAAGTGTCCACTTTCTGGCTAGCAGGCTCTATGGGGCCAGAGAGACAACGCGGAGCCTGAAAATCCCTCCACTGTACCCAAGCTGTCTTGACTTGACAGCAATCTAGTACAGGGTTGACGTGTTATCTGTGGTTTGGAGTCCCTTTCCCCAGCAGTGTGAGTGCCTTTCCCGTCGTTTACTGGTGACTTATACATAAAATCTGGTCCACGCCCATTTTTAAACAGGGGTTTTGGTTTTTGAATCGAAGTTCTTCACATCTTCTAGATGTGAAATGTTTGTCAACTATACGGTTCACAGGCACTTTCCTCCTCACAGGTTATCTCTTCAGTCCTTGATAATGTCCTCACCCTTCTGACTCACCAAGGATCACCAGGCTGTGTGCTGCATCCAGGCTTTTCCAGGCACTGTTGGGCTAGACCAGCAATTCACACTCTTCATCAGTACTGTGCCCTTTCAATGCACTGGCACTCGCTCGGGATAACTCCTAGGCTGTCAATTTTTAACTTGTTGCCAAAGTAAACATCACCACATTCCAAAATGAGCATGTACCATGCCCCACAGCGACCCCCTGAGGTGAGTGGACTGCTAAGGGCTCGAAGGTGACAGTGCTTAGAAGCAGGTGGTCACATTGGTCCCCACAGCAACTCTGTTGACAAGTGGACTATCCCCAAAGCAATCCCAACCCCCCCCCAACCTCCATGTGGACAGTCCCCACAGCAACCTCCCAAGGAAAGTGGGCCATCAAGGGCTCCGAGGTAGTAGCGCTTACAGAGCAGATGGTCACATCTGTCCCCATAACGACCCCCACTGGCGAGATGGACTTTCCCCACAGCGAGCCCCGAGGCGTGTGGACTGCCAAGGGGTCCGAGGTGGCAGTGCTTACAGAAAAGATGGTCACATCTGTCTTCACAAGGATGGCTATCAGGCTTGCTCATCTTCTAGTTCTCAGAAAAGCACTTTAACCACTGCATCACCAGAGCTCTAAGGTAAGGACCGTCTTTATTTTCCTCAAAACAGAAAAGGCTTATTTATTTCATTTAAAAAACCACAGATTTAATGAGAAAGACGACAGAAGAACTCGTAGGCCATAAATGTTGTAAGCAATCAGCCCCCTGTCCCTTCTACCCAGCTAACCTAAAAGACAAAACCAGGGCAAAGTTCTGTTCAACAGATACATTATCTTCGCTTCTGGAAGATGTTTCCACGTCCCATTCCACGTCCTCTTCCTCTTGCAGCCACTGGAAGGAGGAGAGAGAGCACAGGTGAGTGGCCAGTACACAATGGACCAGAGCTGGACAGGAGTTCCAGGGCCACCAGCCCTCGCAGCTTTAGCCCCCATCAGAGGGGAAATGACCAAGTAGGCAATGGCCCCGGCCACAGGCCTCTTGGGTCCAGCATTACCTTCCCCATGAGGCAGGATGCAGGGCAGACGGTCTAGTGAGCAATTCAATTCTCTTAAAATTCCACAACAAACACGGCCAATCATCATCTGTTAAATCCTGTTGTTGCTGTGTGTCGCTGAGTTGGAACCAATGGGTTTTCAGAGGCAGTTAACTACAGAGAAGACTACGTCTCCTCTGGTCTAGCAGCACATCTCCTTACCACTAAGGCCCCGGGGCTCCCTAGATCTTGGTGAGGATGTTCTTAACCAAGTTTTTCTGCATGTGTGAAATGTTTTTTTCCCCCACACTAAAATAAAATCTCCCCAGGGCTCCCTAGATCTTGGTGAGGATGTTCTTAACCAAGTTCTTCTGCATGTGTGAAATGTTTTTTTTTCCCCACACTAAAATAAAATCTAAAACCAGGTGGAGAAAGTGGCTGTGAGGGCACTTTCTGACGGCAAATAAAAAGATAACTGCCTTTTCTTCTCTCAGGCTCAAGGCTAAGATCCTTCCCGTGCACAGCTGCTGGGCCTCACCTGTGCTACAGAGGATGGCACAGCTGCACTGTGACAGGACAACCTGCTGAGAGGAGGCAGGAGCTGCACTCATTTCTTGGTACTCACATCTTTCTCAAGACAAAAGGCCCAGAAGCCCTGGTTCTCTCCCTATAACCACCTCCTGCCTGGCAAGAGTAGAAGACATTCTGTTTTATACTGGAATGTCCTAAAGGAAGGTCTCTGAAAAGCGAATGTGTAAGAGTGCCTCACATAGGGGAGCTCTGGTGGCCTAGTGGCAAGGAGCTGCAACTACAATCCCAGAAGTGCACGGTTCAAATCCACCAAATGCTCTGCCGGGGAAGGAGGGGCAGTCTCCTTCTGTACCAGTCAGATCTGATTTGACGGTACACTCACACAAAAATAAAAAAAAAAAAGAGTGCCTCACAGCTGTTTATTGCTGATCTGAAGACAATTCCTGTGTAAGGCTGAATGAATCATGTCCCTCAGAATTCACGTATGAAAAGTGTAATGGGGAAGCTATGTGAGGATCCTCTGTGAGCTGATCAATCAGTGTAAAAGGAGACTTTTTATCTTACTGGAGAGAAGAGGGAGGAAATAGAGCCTAGGAGGAGGAACCGCATAACCATCTCAGATATAACAAAGGGCCCAGGTCCAAAAAAGCAGCACTCCATCCTTCACATACAACAGATTCCTATTTCTCAGAGTTCCCACTTGTGCAATCTGTTGTAGCAGCATGAAGCAACTAAGACACCCCCAAATTAGCACTTCTTCACGCAGAGTGCCTGTTCTCCTGGCCCAGGCTTCTGGAACCAAGGCCAACTCCAAGGCAAGGGGTTCCAACCTTTTCCCTAAGGATCCTCATGACTAGGAAGGGGTGGCATGTGTGTGGGAATGGACCACCTCTCCTGTACACAGTGACGAGACCTGTGACCGAGGAGCACCCACCTTGGGCCTTCAGGATCGCAGCTTTCCCCCGGCCAGCCCCGGACCCCTGGTTTTTATTCTTCATGCTCTTTAACATGGGCGCGTTTTTCAGCATGTCCGGAAGTATCAGGAAGCGGATCTTGCTGCCACGGATGTACACCTGCTCCAGCTGTGCCACCCGGCCGTCTCTATAGGTGACTGTGATGTTGGACATCTGGAAAGGAACACTGCTTATCAACAGAGGCCCAAGGTGCCAGGGATCGTAGGGCAAGCAAGAGGGGGCAACACCAAGGCAATGCCCAGAGCCAGCTCATCAGCAGACAACTATGGCACCAGGGAACATGGGGCAGGCAGAGAGGGAACACTGCAATGCCATGTGATCCTTAACCTTCTTCTGGTTTGTTTTTTTTGTTTTTGTTTTTATTATTTTGTGTGTGTGTACCGTCAAATTGGATCTGACTGGTACAGGAGGAGATTGCCCCTCCTTCTCCAGCAGAGCATCTGGTGGACTCGAACCACGTACCTCTGGGATTGCAGTGCAGCTTCTTGCCACCTAGGCCACCAAAGCTCCCTACCCTCTTCTGTTTTTACAGACAAAAAGGCACCTACCTGTGCATAGTTAACCCTGCCCAAATAGTGGAACTTATTGAACTCAGTGGGCTGGCAACCAGTGACTAGAAGGTGAAAGTGGTGACAGCAATATGTACACGGGTCAAGCCACATCACAGAGCGACACTGGGAGAGCCCCTACCTGGCTGGATACAACAGCCACTGTCACCCCGGGAGCAGTTCTGTCCTGTCCTGCAGTCCTTGGGAGTCACAGTTTCAGGACTTACTACTAATAAAGTCACTGTTTCTGAATTTTAAACGTACACTTGTAGGTTTTCCTTCTGTGACTAGTCAATCTGATGACTTACCTATTTTTTTTTAGTAGAAATTTTAACGTTTCTCATTTGTTCATATTTAATACAATAACTTTCCATAAGGAAAAAAAAATAACCGGCTGTCCCTAAACGTTTGACTACATTGTAGCTGAATCTGGATTCCACTTGCAGGGCTCACACTTAACCTTAGAAGGAACCTGTGGAGACCCCTCACCTGGATTCCTCATAAAGCAACAGCTATAGACACTAGCCCTTAAAAGTTATACAATACTGTCTAAGCAGTCAGAGGAAAAAAAAAATTGTTCATTCCTACTCATTTCAAAGCTCTTTCATAGTTTTTTAAAATTTTATCAAGCATTTTCCTTCTTTTTAATATTTTTTTCTCAATGTGAAGAAAAATCCCTGATATTTTAAGAGACAGGAGAGCTTCCATTCGTAGCCAGCCTAACCACCCAGTTACCCAGGAGGTCTTGGCTCCCAGTTACTCATGCTGGAGATGAGAAGGAAATCAGGCACACATCTTTCTACCCCTCAAAACCATCCCAGCTACACTCAGAAGGGGCAGGCCCCCAGTGGCTCTGCTTAGCCCATCCTGACAGCACACAGGAGATGCACTCAGCACCAATGCCACAGCCTGCAGCCATGACCGCTTTCCCAGCCAAAACCTGAGAAGTATAGAAGGGCTTGTGTCCCTTGACCCCATGAGCTCTATTTCAAAGGCTTCACCTCATTCAAGGTTTAACATAAAAGTCAAGAGATGTGTAAAGGATTCTGGGGAGTGCTCAGACAGGCCAGGGTTTTGATCTTCTCCCATAAATACAACAGAAACTACAACCCAGAAAGAGACCTCAGCTCTGAAGGACTGTGGATCAGAGTGTGGAGGGAGCAACATACATAGGGCATAGAAGGAAGGACCAATAGGCCACACACAATAGGAGAATGGTTTGCTCCTCCAAGCAAAGGTCTACTGCCCTAACTAGTACACTCCTTCTGTCTGTGAAGAGAAGACAGATTCCAAACTTCTGCTCTAAAACCAACAAGGCAGACCTCCCCAGAGGTACACACAGAGCACTCCAATGTTGACCCCACTGGCACAATGCCTGCTGCAAGGGGGCTGTAAATATCCCCATGATCCATGATCATGGGATCTGCTCCATAGTCAAAGCTCTGCCTGTCTCCCTGTCCACAAAAGGAGTAATCTCCCTTAGAGGTGAAGTCTGGAAAGAGCACGTTCAACTCCAGCTGGCATGGACGACTGAGGCTGCACACACAGCTAACCCATCTGCTTGGGGCACAGAGACAGCAACTAGGCAGGCCTCTGCAGGTACGTGACCAGAGGATTGCACAGCCTGTCCAATCTAGTAGCTGCTGCTTACAGGATGGTTGACCAGAGGACTGCACAGCCTGTCCAATCTAGTAGCTGCTGCTTGCAGGATGGTAGCAAACTCTCAGGAGGTGTGCCTAGAGTCTGCTTTCACAGGTGGTCCCCTATTTCTCACTTGCACATCCACGCCGCTGGGCCAACACCAGGACAGGCCTGTGTCTGAGGAGAGACCACACTCACACAAGACCAGCCTCCCAGGAGCACACCAGCCATGCTCCACCTGGGAACAGACAGGCATGCCAACAGAGGATTTCCTGCTGTGGAGCCAGGTCACTTAAATGGAGTCCATGTCCCCAACCACCCCAGGGCCTCTGGAGCATTAAAAACAAGAGAGTAAATGAAAATGTACAGAAGTCCCTCTCTGCTTCCCAAAGGGTAGCTCAGCTAAAAGCAGCCCACAGAAAACAAGAAGACAAGACTGAGCAAAACTGGAGAGCGGTCACCAGATGTGGGCTTTCAGATTTTACATTGTCAGAAAATGTGGATGCAGAAACGAGAGAGTGCTGATGACAGAGAGAAAAGTCAACACCCTTAAAAATCCAATGCCCCAACAAAAAACCTATAAGATTCAAAAGAAAGGAGAAACAATGACCCAGCTCATGAACACAATAATCTTCTACGGATGTTCAATGGTAGAAAAATGAAAGACAAAACAAGAAAAATATGAAATGGTATTAAAGACTTGAGAAGGCAAACATCTTCAACTCCTTATCACTTGCCCACCAGAGCTCCAATCAGCCATAATTAGTGAATATAAATGGATGAAACAGAGCTATCCAAAAGGTATCATTCCTAACGGCAATGTAAAATAGCACAGCTGTTGTCAAACACAGTGAGTGCAGCAATTCCTCTAACCTGTAAAAAGCTAACTGTTGTACTGTTATGTGCCATTGAGGAGGAAGTCATTTAGAGATGACCCTCAAGTGTGGCTTCAGAGGCTGTAGCCATGTGAGAGGAGACTGCCTACCTTCCTCCTGGGGAGCAGCTGGTGGATCCAAACTGTGAGAGTGCCTGTGAGCTAGCACTGCAGCTCCTGACCACGAGGTTACCTGGCTATACATCCAAAAGACAGCAAGCAGAGATCTGAACAGCCTCGTACACCGACATACAGGGCAACACCCACAGGTGAATGGACAGTCACAACGTGACACAAAGGCACAACAGCATGACACAGATGGAGCCTAGTGACAGACGTCACTTACTGTGTGACCTCACATGCTGTGTAATCCACTGACCAATAAGACCAATGTTCCTAAGCGGTCACTGAGGATAGGTGAGGGGGAAACAGAGGTGATCATGACCCAACAGAGCAGTTTCTGGTTACGCTCATGGAATAATGATCAAGGTTAGAGCAATACGGTCAATTAACGTAACTGCCCTAAGACACAAACGTCTAGAAAACTGAACTGGATTGTGCAATAGGAAAGTAAATGATAAAATAGCTTCTTATGTAAAACCAAAGACCCCGTAGGGTTTGCTTTTTGGTTTAAAAGTTCAAGGTCATGATTTTACAAGTTAATCAGCCTTAGAAACATGTTGAGTCTTGTATTATAGTTCAGTTTATTGCACAAAGCCTGAGGTCTTAAAGCTTACTAGCAGCCTCACAAAGCAGAGCAACTGGACTTTCTCCCTCTTGAAAAGCAGGGGAAGAGTCAGAAATAGGAAGGGGCTCTGGGATACGTGACTAATTACCTCCACAAACACCTGCTTCCTTCATTAGGAGAGCAGGAAAAACTGACAGTGCCTGGCTACTATTACTGAATGCTTTGGTCAGTCTATATATACAAGGATCCTGCAGTGTTAGCCAAAAATTCAACAGCTGCGGGACCTGGATGAGAAAGCGCTTCCCACACTGAAGGGGGCAAGACTTGAGGGAGACTGGAGCAAGACCCTGGTGACTGTGAGGGAGAGACAGTGGCATCACTGGGGAGAAACTGTGGCAAGGTGTAGCCTGAGATAAAGACAGTTAAAGATTTTGCTGTTCCTGCTGGATGCTTGACTGCTCTGAGGCAAACCTTGCAGGATGATTTGAATTTGACTGCTGAGGACTTTTACTAATTAAAGAACTGTGTTTTGCTGTTAATCAGGCTTGGGATTGCTGGAATAAACCCGGAATTGTATTTTGAGATATTCTTTGCCTCCCCTACTCCTCAGTCTATTTCCCTAATAAATCTCACTTGTGGTACAACTGTGAATAAAATCTGTGAGTCAACAATGAATACACTTGTTGCTGCTATGGCTAGAGGCACCGTGCAGCTCGGCTGTGGGCTCTTTGTCTGCTTTCCGCTCTAGGGTGGTAAGAGACTATGCTATTCTCACTTCCTCTGGCCCTTTCAGAGAGACACTCATGGCCCTGTGCAACCATGTCCCATTCTTTGTTCCTTTCAAGAGGGAGAAAAATAAAGAACAGAATTTCAAACTCTTACAGAATCTAGATTTTCTTTCAGCATGAACTATGAACTCCTAAAACAACTGACTTGAGAGAAACAAAGCCTTAAACAAAAACATCCTCTGAAATCTTAAAACCAAATAGTGTAGCTTAACTAATAAAAAATGCTTGCCCTGGGCACTCGAGATAGCTTGAGAGAGAGCTCTGCTATCTCTAGCGGGTTTTATGTTATGGCCAGGTGCTGGTGGACCCAGCGAAGCCACAGAGCCCTGGTGAGGGGACAGGGTGAAGGTCAGAGACAGCAAGCCTGTGTACTTCCATCTCATTGGGTCACACCTCTGAGATGGCCACCATGACATCATCAGACCCTTCACATCATGTATGAGTCCTAGAATCTCAGTAATCCACAGACGCAGTACACTGGACAAGCACATCAGGATGCAGCTCCCTAGGCCTGCATCCTAGTCATGTGAAAAGTGTGTTGGCAGGTGGGGTCAGACTGCTCTCAGCCAAGGATGGACTAGCGCAGGGGTGAAAGAGCCAGGCCATTCTTGTCCCACGCAAGACTCCCCCAATGAGCAGAATTACACTGAAGCCCAACACTCTTCTTACTCAACCCTCCCTTCTCCCCTCTTTTCACCTATGCTAGATTCGCACACTACAGTGGAGATCTCCTGTCCCCTCTCTTTATGGTCACTTCCCCAAATAATCTCTAATGTGTGAAACAAAGATACTTAGGCAAACAGATTATGGTCCTGAACCTAAAGGGAATGATGCTGTTTATCTTAAAACAGGATCTCAAAACATGATAAAATTACTATGCACTGGGGAAAATGAAAGGCACAATTAAGTATTTCAAACAGCTTTTCTGTGCTGAGATAATGCTCATGCCCACAACCTCAGCACACACAAGGCACGCAGGAATTGCTGCTGAAAGACTATTTCAAGCAGGAGACCCAAGGGCTGTTTGGACACAGGTGCATTCTTCCCCAGGGCGTGGGCACATAGCATGGTACCTGGCAGTTCATGTTGTCCTCTGCCTCTATGAGCTTCCCCCGGTACACCTCGCCTGTGTTTGTCTCACACGTCACAATGTGGCCCTCGGCCTCGTGCAGGACCTTGATCGGCACACCGATGGACATCTTGGCACGAAGACAGTGCTGCAGCAAGAAAACAGTGAGAATGACTTTTAACAAGGCTGGCGCCTCCTTCCAGGTTTGGTAAGCTGCCAGGCAGATGCATTGCTGAAGCTCCTGGAAAAGGAAAGTCACTCATTACAAGACAAAGGGAAGAGAGAAAAGGGGGATAGGATGGACAGGGCTGATGAGAAGGCCCCCATCTCTCTCATTTCATCAAAATGATCATTAGCTGATACTGGGGTATCAAATACAAATTTGATACAAATACACCTGCCAACCCACCGCTGTGAACCAGCCCATGATACAGCTTAGCCGTCTGACATGGCTGCCCAAGTCCACTAAGCAAACCAAAAGATAAAATACATTTTAAATACTTGGTTCCGCAGTCACACAAGCCAAACTTGACACACTCAAAATGTCACACGTGGCTGGTGATTATTCACCACTATCAGGCCCAGGGGAGGGGATCACACTTTGCCAACTCTTCTGGGGTCCGATGATACCCCGATCACAGCTCCACCAAGACTGCAGGGAAAGTATGAAAGGGTCCATGAGGCAACGCTTCTCCTGGAGAAATCGTCTGTGGTGCTGGTGAAGAGTACTACAGGTCCCATGGATTGTCCAAGGAACAAACAAATGGGTCTTGGAGAAAGTGCAGCCAGAGTACTCTTTGGAGGCAAAGGAGTCTCACAAGCTCGGGGCATGTTGCTAGGAGGGGCTATTCTTTGGACAGGGGCATTCTCAGTGAGATGGCCTGACAGTTGACTGCACACTGGGCAGTCAGAGACGATGACGATGGCACAGCATAGAACAGGTTTCAGAGCTATCCTTCATAGAGTCGCTGTAGGTCGCACTCGACTCTACTGCACCTGCATCAACAATTCAGAGGAAAGCCTGAAGTAGGCTAGCACTTGCTCACCTGTCAAGAAAAAAGCATCCACATTTTCCTTCTCCCCATCACCACCCCTAACATGTCATCATCAGCAAGTATCAGAGGTGGAACATGTGGAGCTCGGGGACGTGATTCCACCCCGAAGGCGGCGACGAGCACGGGAGAGGACTTCTCTCGGTCCCGAGGCCCGAGCCTTGGCGGTTAGTAGCATGTTATGCAGAGGACAAGAACCACCAAAGGATCACGAGTAGAGAGCAACATGCATTTTAGCATCTCTGCAACTGCGTGGACCCACGAGGGGCAGACGGCGTCAAAATCTCGGGATGCACGTTCCACACAAACTGAGGTAAAGAAGAGAATCTCCTGGGTACGCCATGATTATTGCTGGGGCAACTGAAAAACACGGACATGGGAGCTATGAAGCTAGGAAATGCGTAGTCTGAGAAAGCTAATAAAGTCATTCCCAAAAACCGTGAGACAACGCTGCAGGCCCGGGCCTCCAGCCCTCTTAAGAGAGGTCTGCAGTTCAAACAAGCCGCGCGTTTCACCGGCACCAGGCCCTCACCGGCGCCTCGACTTCGCTTCGCCTCCCTCTTAATTGTCCTCACCGGCCGCGGCCTTCTTGTCTGCTTTCCCACCCGGGAGCGTAGACAGCGTTGGACGCGCGAATGCCTGGACCACGCTCCCAAAACGCACCGCGCTCCCAGCAGTCAGCGCGCAAAGCCCACCCTTTCCTTCCATTCAGCTTCCGGTCGTTCCGCAGCCGGCCGGTTGGGAAACACAAGTTCTGGCACTATAGTTCCGCTTCAGGAAAACAAGGGCGAGGAGGACACGCCCTGGGCGCCAACGGAAACACTGACATCTCCCCCGGGTCAGCTAGGGGAAAGGGGAGCTCGCACTTCCAGGCACTTCACACCAGGGCTGGGATGGACGGCAAGACAGGAATGGTGGACCTGGGCCATCGGATCGGAAACAAGCTTTGGGGTCAAAGGCCAGGACCTGCTTTCACAATTGAGCCGTTGGAGCTCAGCACCGCCAGGTAAGTGGCGAGGCAAGGTATAAAGCGGGGCCAACCTAGTGTCATTCTCAGATGATGGGGCAGGGCCAGGCCGGGCTATTGACCACATCCCCCTGAGGCTGAGTATGTCTGGGAGGAGAGCCAGGCTTAGGGGTGGGGCTTCCGGGGATAAGCGAGGATGGTGCTTGTGCTCTGACTCGTAGCCTGGGAAGGGGCGAAGCCACCAGAAGTCGAGGCAACGATTGGTCAATGCAGACGTCGTTCCTGTGGCTGGGGCAGGAAGGGACGGGACCCGTGCGGAGGCGGAGCCCGGGGTGGGGCCGGGCGTCCGGGTAGGGCCGGGCCAGAGCTCGGGGTGGCTGGTCGCCCCTTCTTGTGCCCTCTGTTTTGCCGCCGGGGCCCCACACTCGTCCGCCGCTCTCCTGCATCAGCTCCAGCCGTCACCCGCACCGGGCCGGGGCCATGGGCGCCCTGCGCCGCCCGGGTCATGAGGACGGAGGCGGAGGCAGCGGGTCCGCCGCTCGAACCGGGTCAGTCCTCTCCCAGGGCCGATCTGCGGGAGTCCAACCACACGACCTTGGGCCGACCGTCGCATGGTCTGCTCTCTGGAGCGTGGACGGGCCGAGCCCTCTGGGCACCCGGTTCTGGCCTTCCTTACTGTCTGGGTGTGCTGTCCTGTTGGGGCCGGGGCCCGCTGGCCACCCGGACTGTGGCTTGAGGTGGGAACGGGCGCCCGGTCCCAGAGCGGGAAATCCAGCTAGAGCCGCGCGCGGGTCTCTGCCCTCTGGGAGGGGCGGGGGTCCGGCCAGCACTCCTTTCCTACACCCAGCTTTTCCGACGGTCGTCTCGCATCCCACCCTTCTTGCCTACGTACCTTGGTTCCTTCTGCTCAAGCATGGACCGTCTTCGGGGTCAAGGATCCCGGCTGGTGCGGCAGTGGCCCGGCCACAGTGTTCTTGCCCTAAGTAGTGGAAAGTGGGTGCTCTATAGAGGGAGGTGCCAGCTCTGGGAGAGGCCAAGAGCGTGGAGGACTAGTCTTGTCTGGTGGTCTCGCAAGGGTGCCCTTTGTGACTGCAAGGTCTTTTGTGGCCCTGAAGTGTCATAAGGAGGTGTCCTGAGGTTGTCCCCTTTATGACTGCAAGCGCCTGGTGGCCCCGAGGGGTCATGTGGGTTGGTGTCACATGAAGGGAGTCCCCTTTGTAACTGCAGGCTCTCAGTGGCCCTGGACTCTTCCGAGGCTCACCCTTTCTTGCAGGCTGCACACCATCAGCTTCACCCCAGCTTCACTGTGAGGTGCCTCCCATGAGGTGGTCACATTCCCCGTGAGGGGGTCAGCCACATTGTGCTTCCCCCTCCTAGATGAGTATACTGGGGCTATGGGAGCGTGACTACCCCACTCTAAAGTTGGGTACTCCCTAGATGTCAACTTCTGGCCTTGGAAGGGAGGGCTGAAGCTGTTATCGGACAAAGGCTTGCCTGTGCTTATCACTCCCACACCTCCTGCCTGGGTCAGTGCTGGGGCAGCCCTCTGGGGCCTCAAGATCAGAGTTCTGGGACTTGGGGCAAGAGGGCCAGTGGGGAACCAGAGGACTCCTGAGGATTCTCCCCAAAGGAGAGGTCTGTTCACAGGTGGTCCAGCTGGTGTGGCCCAAAGTGGTACCAGCTAGAATGGAGGGACCCCCTGGACCAAAGGGTGGTGGCCAAGGATGGGACCTCACTGTGTGTCCCAGGACAGTATCTGAGCCCCTGTTTGGGTGGAGGGCCCCTGCCTGCCACTGAGGCATTGATGGGCTTTTAGCAGCAAGAGCCAGATGTGTCCTCAGGGATGTGCTACAGGGATGGGGGCACGCTGCAGACAGATAGGCTGTGCAGGCTGAGGTACACAGCCACATGTGTCCTCAAGTGCCACACAGTTGGGGGCCCAGGACTGGGGGCACGCTCCAGATGAAGGAGCTGTGAGTTTGCAGGCTGAGATACACAGTGTATGGAGGAAAAGAGGACAGGAGTGGCTGTGGCCAGGAGCATGTAGAGAGAACCCCAAAACCACCTTACTGGATGGAGCAGCCCCTCCCCCAGGGGATCTGATTTTAGCACCAAAGCCCCAGAGGCAGGACTTAGCCTCCATCCACATGGCACCCGGGCCTAGCACACGGCCAGCACTCAGCAAGTTCATCTCTGCCAACAAGTGTTTGTGTACTGAGTTCTCCCTAAGCAGCAGATTCCGTTTCTGTTGTTCTTCATTGCTGCTGGTGACCCCCTTTTGCTGCAGAGAACTGCTCCCTCGGCTGAGTTGTCATGAAAACAGTGGCCAGGTCATTCTTTTGCTATGCTGCTGAGTGGGTCACTGACTTTTCTGCTCGCTGTCCAACACAAACCATGTGGGCTGTTGACAAGGCCCCTCTGCCAGCCCACATTCCAGTGGAGAGACTCTTGATTGCTGTGGGCGAGTTTGGTTTTGATTTTGCTTTGCATTGTTTCTTATGTTGACTGCTAGCTAAATGGTGTGTGGCTCAAATGTGCCGGCTTCCCTGTAAAAAGAGTGGGAACAGCCACTCCTGAATTCTGCTGACTCAATCAGGGGACCCGTCACTGATACCCAGGGTACACAGCTCATTCATATGAGGACAGACTCAGCCCCCATGGTCCCGCACCAACTACTAATCCTAATACCAACATCTTTCCCTGATCTGTCACTGCTCCATGTCTGGTTCTGAAATGTGTTGCAGGAACCACGCAGACTTCACAGAACCATACTCAAGGTAACGGGCTTCCTGGGGCAATTAGCAGGTATAGGCCAGTTTGGCAACAGGAGGTCATTGTTGTGTGCTTTTAAGTCAGAACCAACCCATAGCTGACCCTCCAGTGGGTTTTCAGACGCAGTAAGTCACACAGGAGGAGCTTGCTCATTCTTCTCCTGTGCAGCAACTGGTAGATTTGAACGGCATGCCTTTGGTGTCATGGCACAGCTTCTTACCAGTATGCCACCAGTGCTCCTTGGTAACTGAATGTTATGTTCCATTGAGTCTCCTAGCGACCCCATGTACAATAGTTTTGAACACTGCCCTATCCTGAGACAGTCTGACTGACTCCAGTGCACCTACCCCTTTGCTCCGGTTATCATGTCAATGCATCTTATCCAGGGTCTCCCTCTTCTGGGCTATCTTTCCACCCTTCCAAGCATATATGATGTCCTTCTCCAAGGACTGGTCCCTCCTAGCCACGTGGGCAAAGTTTGTGAGAGGGAGCTTTAAAATCCTTGCCTCCAAGGAGAAACTTGGTTTCTCCCTCTCCAAGACAGCCTCTTGGTTCTCTTGGCAGTCCATGGCATATGTTCAGTACTCTTTCTAGCACCACAATTAAAAGGCATCAATTCTTCTGTCATCCTTAGTCATTGTCCAGCTCTCTGATGCAGAGCAAGTAATTGTGAAGACCATGGCCTGGAGCAGGCACACCTTAGTCTGTAGACGGATATCGTTTCTCAGAAATCTGGAGTGGTCCCTGACAGCAGACTTTCCCAATGCAATTTGTCTTTTGATTTCCTGATGGCTGGTGCCAACAGTGTTGATTATGGAGCTAAGCAAGCTGTAATTGTTAACAATCTCAATCTCTTCTTCATCTATCATGGTGCTGCCAGTTGGCCCAATGGTGAGAATCTGTCTTCTTGATGTTGAGCTTCAATCCATATTGAAGACTCTAGTCGACACTTCCTCCTCAGTTTCAGTAAGCAAGGTTGTATCATCTGCATAAGGTTGTTTGTGAGTTTTCCTCCAGTCCTGATGCCACATTCCTCCTCATAAAGCCTGGCTTTCCTGATGATCTGTTTCCCATATAGATTGAGAAGGTATGGCGACAAGAAACATCCCTGACGCACTCCTTTCCTGATTTTCAACCTTCCTTGCTCTGTTCTGAGGACTGCTTCCTTGTCTGAGTGCTGCTTCTCAATCAGAACAGATTCTCAAACGTGTTCACAGCCGTTTGACCTTCAGCTCACGGCCTAGGTCAGTGTTGGCAGTGCTCTCCCAGTTCTGCCAGTTTTGGCACCTTCCCACATCCTCCAGCAAGCTTGGGTGAAGGCCTTAACTCCGGCTCCTGAGGAGGCAGTCTCTGGCCAGCTCTGTCTCCTGTAGGTCTCTAGTTCTCCTCTGTGCTGCTGCTGCTTCTCCTGCAGATTCCAGTGTGGCTGGGACAGACATCTCTGGCCCTCCAAGGTGCTCACTGCATCTTCTGCTGCTCTCCTGCAGATCTCAGTGCTGCTGGGACACGCGTCTCTGGCTCTCAAGAATGCTTGCTTCATCCTTTTATGCTGTTCCTGAAGATCTAGGTGTGTCTAGGGCAGGTGTCTCTGGGCCTCAAGGATGCTCACAGCATCCTCTGCTGCTGCTGCTACTGCTTTCCCAGCTTCACTGTTAAATCTGCTCAGTGTAAACTTGGTGGGGTGGCAAAACAGACCTGTTGCATCATGGATTGTTTTCTTGTTGCTTTTTGCCATTGAGTTAAGTAAAGTTCATAGCAACCCTATGAGTATTCGCTCTGAACTTTGTCCATCCTGAGCCAGCCTCACCATCTCTGACACTCCTGCTGACCCATTGCTACAGTCACTCATTGTTTACCCTCCACCCTCCAAGCATGATGTCCTTCTCCACACACTGTTGCATGTTCCCACCCAGTCATGTAGTGGAAGTCAAATCATGTAGTGGAAGTCAAAGCCAGTGGCTAGAAAAACTATTTTGAATGACACCACAGCTCAGTGGTTAGAAAAGGAGGTTATCACCTCCCATAAAGATTTCATCTCAGAAACCCAGGGGACAGTCCCTGTTGGGTCAGAATTGATTTAATGGAAATGTGTCATTTTGGGGGAGTTGACACACCTTTTGTGAAACAAGGGGACCTGGTAGCACAGTGATTAAAGTACTTGGCAGCTACTTAGAAGATGAGGGTTCAGACCCACCAGCAACTCTGCAGGAAAAAGATGCGCAGGGGTAGTTTGTCCAGAGGTGACAGTCTGGAAGCCTTATGTGACAGACATCATCCTACAGGCTTGCTGGGCAGGGCTCAGAGGACAGGGGCTTGTTCGGTTTGAGGTCATGTGAGACAAGGAGGTTTCTGCTGTCAGGAAAGCTTCTTCCTGGACACTGTGCTGGGACCTTGTGTCAAGCAGTAACAGTAGCCTCAGGAACAGGGTGGGCGGAAGGACCCCTGCCTCCTGGGGTGCCCTCTCAGTCCAGCAGGCAGGCAGGAGGTGAGTGGGGAGCAGCACAATATTGTAGAGGACCCCTCGTCCTGGGCACCCTCTCAGTCCAGTGGGCAGGTAGGTAGATGGTGAGTGGGGGGCAGTGCAGTGTTGTGGAGGACCCCTGCCTCTTGGGCAACTTCTCAGTCCGACGGCACACAAAACCAGACACTGGGCCTGTTATGTGGACATGGAGATGGCAGTGCTGGAGTTGGGCCCTGCCGGCCGAGGCAGGCTCCAGGACAGGGATCAGGCCAGGCTCTGCACAGACAGGCTGAAGCCTGGTGGTCCCAGGCACTGAGAGTGATCCCTCCTGCAGGCACAATCTGAGCAGGTAGGGGCCAGGCTGTTGGAGAGCCCTGGGACCCCAGAGATGGAGTGGAAAGTGGCTGGACCCTGGCCTGAGCGGTCATCCAAAACCAGTGTGGAGGTGGCCAGTGTAGGGAAGTCCCTGCTGGCCCTCTGGACACTGGACTTTGTGCAGACTCTGGGCCCTCCCTTGCCCTTGCTGTCCTTTCTGTTTGGCTGCTTCGTGGGAGGCACCCCTGGGGCCTCTCTTGGCTCCTTGTCCTGACGTGGCCGCAGGGAACTGAAGCTGGGCTCTGGCCCATGCCTTCCTCATAATCCCTGTTGTGTCAGCCCTTTTCCCTGGGGTTGTCCTCTCTTCCTTGGACTTTCCACTTTCCCCAGCACCGTGTCGTCTAGGAGTTGGCCGTTCCTGATAACACACCAAAAAGTGTTGCTTCTGAGAAGTGCTTAAGCAGTGCGTCCTAAGGTAGATTTGTTTGGGGTTTTGCCTGTCATTTTGTTATTGTGTACTGTCAAGTTGGAACCAACCAATAGCTGATCCTCCAGCAGGTTTTCAGAGGCTTTAAACTGGACAGGAGGAGATTGCCCATCCCTCTCCCATGGAGCAGCTGGTGGATTTGAACCACGTATCTTTGTGTTGACAGCACAATGTCTTATCACTATGCCAGGAAGGATATTATTTCAGTATTCTTCACCAGTAGCACAAATCTGTAATCTTCCTACTTTATTTTCCAGCGTTCGTATGCATGTGAACCAACTGAAAATATCATGGCTTGGACCAAGTGCACTTAGTCTTTGGCATTACATCCTTGCTCTTTATCACTTTAATGAAGTCCTGAACAGCAGATTTGCCTGTAAATTGACTCCTAAGTGCTGGAGGTTAGGACCGGAGGTTTCCCATTTGAGCATAACACAGATTTCCGTGCCATCCTGTTGGCTCCCTCTGTGTCCACTGTGTGTCCAGAGCAAGACACTACTGTTGCATTTTCTAGACAGACCTTCCAGAAGCCATTTTCAAGCCTCTCTTCTGTGGTATCTCTGTGTGGTTTGAACACTATCTGCCTGTTGACAACTGAGTGCTCTTCCATTGTGTCCAGGATCCCCCTGCTATGTGGTGATTTTTGGTCATTGCCTGACCTTGCTCTCCACTGGGACAGAGACTGGCTGATGTCTCCGGGTCATCCTGTACCAGCTTCTGTGGGCACTTGGCTGTGTTTGTGGATTGGGTGACTGGAGATTGCAGCCACTCACTGTGGCTATGAGAGCTGGCAGGAGAGGCTGGCAGGGTCCAGGCACGCTGATGCCCGGTTGTCTGCACAATCATGCTGATGGGCAGTTGTCTATGCTCTACTGCTGTGTGTGGGATCATATGTGCTGGTGCCTGGGGTCCACGCATGTACACCACTCCTCCTGCTGGCCTCCTACTTGGGAATCAGACTTTGACTGCTCACGCCCACTGGAAAGGGGCTTAGGAGGGGAGTCCTGATAGGCCAGATCAGGAGCAAGCAGGCATGACACGCTGTGCCTGGGGATGGAGCCGTGATAAGGATAGCAGCCAGCATGGGTCTCTGCCCCTGGGGCCTGTGCATCATGTTTAGCGGAATTTCTGGGTGTTGTGAGACTGTGGGCAAGGTTCGATAGACTCTAATTGTGCTGATGCATCTGTGCAGGGGACTTGGTGCAGCTGCCCGTGCCAGTCATCCAGCAGCTATACCATTGGGACTGCGGCCTGGCTTGCGCAAGGATGGTGCTGAGGTAAGTGGGTGAAGAGTCAAGTGACTACCCTCTGTCCTGTCCTGTCCCCAGCCTTGAAAACCGGACCCTAGAGGCTGGCGTCCCCTGGGCGAGCTCTCATGCACAGAGGGGTGGACGTGGAAATGGGCCCCTGTCCTCAGCCTTATAAGCAGGTCTCCAGAGGTCAGGATTTCCCTGGACAAGCGCCCATGCACAGAAGGGTGGGCATGGCCAGGCCAATGGCTCTTGCTTGGCTCGAGGCACCAGGACAGGACACACTGGTGGGGAATTCACATCTCTGGTTCTCTGCTTTGCAAGTTCTTGCTTCCTCAGTCTCCCCACATTCTTCATTCAGGACACCTCCAGCCTCTGCTGGAGAAACTGTCCACCCTCTGGCCTTGGGCTCCTGGCCTTGTGACTGAATGCTGAGCTGAGCGAGCATGGAATCAGGTCCAGAGGGAACACGGTTGCTGCCACATAGCTTTGGCAACTGTGGATCCCCAGGGTACTGTGTTGCTTATCCACAGCCAGCGCCTCTGGCCCTGGGAGCCTTCCAGCGGTTCCCCTGTACAAAGACGGGCCATCTTCTGAGCAATTTACAGCCACAGAAACCCAGCATGGGGTTAGCTCTAAGTCAGGTTCTATGGAGCCCAGGGGCTTCTCTCGTCTTGCCAACACCCCAGGTTCCAGGCAGGAGTCAGAGAGAGGGCTCCATGCCAGAAACCTTGGAAAGGACCAATGCACCTGAGCCCACACCGTGGAGAAGAAGCCGGTGAGGGCCTGTGTGGTGACTAGTGGTCACACATCTTGACACCCTTGATTCAGGGCTAGGCACGTGCCCCAGAACCCTCCATGCTGTTCCGTGGGCAGAACGTCATGCAGAGCGAGGAGCTGGGATACTGGCTGGCGCCTGGCTTCAGTCACTGCCCATCTGCCACAGGTACTTAGGCCAGCTGGACGACGAGGAGTTTGAGAGTGCCCTGCAGGCATTGCAGCTGACCAGGAGCATCTGGACCATAGACCTGGCCTACCTCATGCGCCACTTTGGCGTGAGGCACCGCTTCTGCACCCAAACCCTGGGCGTCGACAAGGGCTACAAGAACCAGGTAAGGGCTGGCTAATGGGCATCTCGGGAGGTGGGGATGGCCTGGCGCCCAGCTTGTGTGTGTTGAGACTGGAGAGCATTGACCTGCTGTGGACGGTCAGGCCAGGTGACTTCTGGGCCCTGGATGATCCGAGGCAGCCGTTTAGGGGAGGAACCTGTGGGGTGGAAGCTCACAGGACTGTGGAGTCAGCAGTTCCAGAGTCTTCAATCAGCCACAAGCTGAAGACCTAGAAGTTAGACTCAGGAGGAGTGTGACCAGAATATGTGTGTCCAGAATCCCCTGGTTAGGCCAGGGACCCAGAGGTCAGGCCCAGGAGGAGCATGGCCAGAACATATGTCCAAAGTCCCCTGGTAAGGCCATGTGTTGGAGACCCAGAGGTCAGGACCCTGAGGAGTGTGGCTAGAACCACACCTCAGAACACCCGTCCAGCAGATAGACTGACCTATAGGTTACCTGAGACCACTGGGGGCCAAACCAGTGCAGAATCTCCTGTCCCTCCAGCCCTTCTAAGACCCTAGAGGCCCCCAGAGCTAAGGAGGCCATCGCAGGCCCCCTCTGTCTGTTGGTCTTTCATTTAGCCCACAGTATCTGACTTACGCCGAGCCGTTTTCCTTCTTCACTGGGTACCACAGCTCCAAGCTAGAGAGTTGCTATTCCAAGAGAAAGCCATGGTCCTTTTCTTTATTCTCAAAGATGACTGTGACACAGTCAGTTCTGCCACCACCTGCTGTGTCCCTGCCTCTTGGACAGACTTAGGAGAGTGGCCTATGGTGTCTTTGATCTCACAGGCTCGAAGACCATGGTGGGCCATTTGCCCAGCTGATGCGGCTTCTACTGCACTTACAGTACAAGCCCAGAAGGCTTGTCCCAGGGCCTTCCCCAGCCCTGATCTGCATGCTCTTGCCCAGTCCTCACATCTATCCCCTCACAGCCCAGGCCCAATGGTGCCTCTCACCCAGTCCCATCCGCTGAACAGGCTGAAGGGCACCAGGCGCCGGCCGCTCCAGCTCGTCCTTCTCTCCTCAGTCCTTCTACAGGAAGCATTTTGACACCGAGGAGACCCGGGTCAACCAGCTGTTCGCACAGGCCAAGGCCTGCAAGGTGCTGGTGGAGAAATGGTGAGCACCTCCACATTCCCAGAGTGTCCACAGATTCCCCAGGAGCAGGATGTCAGGGTGGGGACAGATGTCAGGCTTCCACAGACTCCTGGGGACCTGGGACACTGGGGACAAGAGGAGGATGGCCATCAGGTGCCCACAGAGTCCTCAGGCCCTGGACCTCAGGGACAGATCGGGGATGGGAATCAGGCAGGGCAGGCTTCCCTCACTGATCACTGCAGACTCCCTCAGTTATGAATTGGCTCCAACTCTCACATGGCCCCCGTGCAGCAGATGAAATGCTGCCCAGTCTGCTTGGCCTCATAAGCCAGCCCTTTGGTGCAGTCACCGCATGGGTCTGTCACGTTGAAGGGCTTTGTGCCCTAACCAGTAGACATGTCCTCTCTCCTTCTGGAGGTAGACTCTGAGCCCTATACCCTGGTGTCCCTGGGAGGATCCTCCTGCCTTTTAGCCTCTGGTGTTGCCACCCTGCTTAACATCCTTAGGTAGACGCTTCCTTGTCCCCATCTTCACGTGGTGACACAAGGTGTCTGCATTGTGTCCACCTAGGTCGTCAACGAAGACTCGTCCTGTTCCTAAATAGGGTCCTGGTCACAGGGGCCAGAACCGGCCCTGGGCAAAGCTTAGTTGAGGCATGGCTCAGCCACGTCCTCTGGGTGACCATGGGGTGTTTGTGGCGCATGGAGCATCTGTGTACAAGCCAGGCCCAGGCCGGCCCAGGGAGTGGGTGGATGGTGCACAGGAGCGCTTGTGAGGGGGCACTTGCACAGAGTGCTGGTTATGGCCATCTGCTGGGGAAGTGACAGGCTTTCCTAGGCCCAAGTTGTGCGGCCACATGTTACAGTGTGGACTGCCTGCTCCTGGAGGGGTTATAAGTGGATGAGTGACCCCTACAGAGGAAGGGGCGCCCATGCAGGTGCCCTCCTTTCTGTTAGGTCTTTGTCTGGGGGCTGCCTTCTAGGGGCTTTATCGCAGGGCATGGCCTGTGTGTCTGCCTGGGCTGCTCCTGGGGCCATCCACACCAGAGGGTTCCCTGGTCTTTGCGAAAGGCTCAGATGCGACAAAGACGCCTTCAAAGGGGCATGTAGTTGGGACTGATCATCTGTGCAAGCTCAGACGTGGAAATTGGACAGATCTGGTCATGTCCCTATGAACCACACAAGTTTTAGACCACGTGGACAGCAGGGATTCAGCAGGAAGGGTCCCCAGATAGCCAGGAGGGTGCTCTTGTGCAGCCTAGGGCCCTGGCTGAGCAGATGGGAGCTCACATGGCAGGTCGGACACATTTGTCGAGGGCCTCACTGATGCCGGGCGGGGTGGGTGGTGTGATGCTTAGCTGCTGTCTCCTGTCTCTCCATCCCTCAGCACCATGGGCATTGGGGCCACGTAGCCATCCTGCAAGGTGAGCAGCCCTGGGTCTCAGCTCGCCCCCTGTGCTCCCAAGCACTATGAACATACCAGCCTATGGGGCCATTGCGTGGCATAGACAGTCAGTACTTGGCTGTTGACTCCCCCGGTGCCCTGAGCGTGCTGGCCTGTGTGGCCGTCGTGGGGTGGACAGCCATTCCCTTGACCCCCTATATCCCTGCACCATGAGCATACAGAACATCCAGGCCCACGTGGCCATCATTCAATGTAGACAGCCTGGTTCTCAGCTGCCATCTCCCCTGTCCCCCAGTGCCATGAACATGCAGGCCCAAGAGGCCATCATGCAAGGGGGACGGGCCGGAGCTGAGCCGCCATCCCCTGTCCCCCAGTGCCGTGAGCATCCAGGACATCCAGGCCCACCTGGCCCAGGGCCACGTGGCCATCGTGCTGGTGAACTCGGGCGTGCTGCACTGTGACCTGTGCTCCAGCCCCGTCAAGTACTGCTGCTTTGTCCCCCGCGGCCACCACTGCTTCTGTCGCACGCCTGACTACCAGGGCCACTTCATCGTGCTGCGTGGCTACAGCCGGGCTGCAGGCTGCATCTTCTACAACAACCCAGCCTATGCCGACCGTGAGTACACACCAGCCCTCCTCTACCCCTCCGCTCCTTTGGGCCTCCTGTGACTTCCTGTGACCCTCCGATGGCTCTTCTATAGCCCTCCTTTGACCTTCCTGTGACCTCCCTGGGACCCTCCTATTTACTTCTGTCACCCTGTGACCCTCCTGTTTACTCCTGTGACCTTCCTGTGACTGTCCCAAGCTGCTGACTCTCCCTCCTTGACACCTAGCCTCCTATTCGCCTCATTGCCTGGGTGTCCCCATGCCCACCTGCCTCCAGCCATACACTCCAGCTTATCCTCCCACCCAGTTCTGGGACCCCCAGCCCCACAACACTGCTATCCCGCTGCACTGCCTCCCCCAGAACCACTGCTCTGGCCTCCTTCCCACTCCACTGTCCAGGCGCTACCCCACCATGTCCGCTCTGCAGAAGACAGAGACCACACTTTCAAAGTCTATTCTGAAATTAGGCCTGACAGCAAATGGGGTACACCCTCCTCTCAGGCACAGCTGCCAGCTCAGGGTCTTCTCCAGCATGGAGTCCCCAGCTCCCGGCCCCTGTGGCTCACTGGAGAGCCTAGGACAGTACATTTGACCACAGTGTGGTCCCCAAGCAGTCTACATGCTGCCATGTCCCGAGTTGTCCTGGACCCTTACTGACCTCCCCTCCCTCAGAAGCCAACTAAGACCACACAATGGGATGTATGACTGACACCTGTGGTCTGGAGGCCCTGGCTGAGTGACACCAGCACCACCACCACCCCGTGGACCCCCAGGCTCACAGTTGATGTGGGAGCCTTAGGGGATGCAGATAGTGAAGGAACTCTGCCGCGGATCTGAAGGTGGGTGGTTCCAGTGTGCCCAGAATTTCCACGGAGGCCAGGCCTCCCAGATGTGTGGACGACTCCCAGATCAGCCAGTGAGCGTGCCCCTGGGCAGCTTCACTGACAGGAAGGGTCTGTGTGCCAGCCTCTGCACAGCTGTCCCTGCTGATAGGAGGTAGTTGCTTCCCAGGGACCAAGGACAGCAGCCGTTCCCCCTTGGGTCAAGTTACTGCCTCATAGTGTTCACAGGTGCTCCTCAGAGGTGCCATGTGGCCTCGGTAGCCTCCTCCCTCCCCTCTGCTGAGTGGGGCAGGGTCAGAGGAGAAAGTCCTGATGCCGAAACAGGCAGGACCTGAGCTAAGGTCCTCCCCTAGTTGACACCCCACCTGTGGGGCCACCTGGGACCTTAGCTGGGGCCCCACAGGTGGGGTGTCACCTAGGTGATAGTGCTCTGGCCCACCAGTCCCCTGCCCTGCCCACAGGTATGTGCAGCACCAGCGTCAGCAACTTCGAGGAAGCCAGAACCAGCTATGGCACAGATGAGGACATCCTGTTTGTCTACCTGGAGAGCTGACAGCTGCCGCCGGTCTGCCCGCCCACCAGCCTGTTGGGAGGTGGCTCTGGGCAGCCACTTGCAGTGCTGGTTGCCGAGGGAGCTCCCCCCGGGATGCCAGCCCGCATCATATGCAAGCCTGAGTGCAGCCCCAGGGGCCCTGCGGCTTTGAGCATACCACAGGCTAAGGGCAGCCTGCACAGGAAGAGCCCCAGGAGAGGACTGGGCCCCCTGGGCTTCTCCACGGACCTCACCCTGTTCTTTCTTCTCCCCACCCTGTTCCCTGGAAGGGTCTCAGAGCCTTTCGGTGGGCCGGGTCTCTGCTACTCGTGGGCCCGACCCCATGGTGGCACATCTCAGGCCTGTGTGGGCCCCAGCTTCATCCAGCGGGGTTCCAAGGCCAGCCTATGCGGTACACCAGCCCTGGGCCTTCAGATGGCTGAATGCAGACTGTGGCCTGAGCTCTTGGAGGCCCCTGATGGTCACTGAGGCCTGGACAGGCAGGCTGGTCCTTTAAGTGCCAGCACCCCAAGTCTCCTGTGCCCCTTTCACCCTGCAACCCTCTGCACAGAGCAGTAGTCTCATCGCCCTGCCCAGGACCAGAAAGCCCAGCAGGTTGCAGGCCGCGCCTGTCACTCTCGCATTTGCTCTTGCGTGTTTTCGAGATTTAAGTTTCCACTTCGGCGTGTGACATCCCCTTCATGTCACGCGGTAACAGTGACATCACAGGTACTAGGAACCCCTAGCCCCTCTATCTATGAGGAGGGCAGGCAGCCCACCAGCCCACACATAGGCTCCTCGCAGACAAACCTAGGGGCAGACAGCATCCACTGGGCCAAGCGTGGAGCCGCAAGGCCAGGGTCACTCTCTGGCTGCTCCCACCATGAGTTGTGCTGGCTGAGGCCACCTTGCAGCCTGGCTGGCATGCCACCTCATCCTGCCCACGACGCTCTGCCCAGGCTGTGCCCCCACGTCACTCCTCCACACCACACGTGGCCTTTGGCCAGTGGGAGGTGGTATGTAGGTCACTGTTGGCCAGATGGCTGCCCTGTTTCAGGGACCGTTGGCTACAGGTAGGCCTCACCCCCGATGCCTTAAAGCCTGTGGACCAAGCCCTGCCCTCTTGGTCCCCGGTTTAGAAGCTGTGTGTCCTGGTCACTACTCTGAGGAGGACAGGAAGAAAAGCTGGGAGGCTAGCCTGCCCAGCAGACGTGGGTGGAAGTCAGGCTGGATGCAGTCGCTTCTGGGTGCAGAGGATGGGAAGGGTGGTCAGATGGTCACCTGCAAGAGCCCGAGGTAAGACTCAAGGTCCGTGAGGTGCCTTGCACAAAACGTGACTGTAGACCAGAGGAGGGACCTTGTGCCCACAGCACATACTGGCCATGTCCACACTGGGCTCGGGCTCTGGCTATGGGGTGAAAGGGATATTTTGCATTCAGAGATTTTATACATAAATATATTTTGTTTGTTATGAGCCATTCTCAATAAATAGTTACTATGCGGCGGCTGCAGACCCCCAACCCCATGTAGCTGTACCAATTCCCAGAACACCTGCGTGTGTCCATAGCAGGGGACTTTGGTGGGCATCAGTGGTGGTTCCTGAGGGTGGCTGTGCCAGGGAGTGGAGTGAGGGAAGCAGACAGCGCCAACCCTCTGTAAGGAGGGGTTCCAGTGTGTCACTTCTGGAAGGGATGGACAGTGCTGGGCTGCTGACTACAGCCAGCGGGGAGCAGACAGGGCCAGCCCTCTGCTGGACAGGGGCTTCAGTGTGACCTAGTGATTCCACCTCTGGAGGGCACAGACAGTACTGGACAGCTGACTGGAGCCAGTGGGGAGCTGGTGGAGCCAGGCTGTCTAGGAGTAGGCCCTGCTCTCATCCTGCCCTGTCCGTGTCCACCTCCAGGGCAGACCCCCCTCTCCAAGGTAGAGTCTGTGTGTGATCACTGACTCCTTGGAGGTGACCAGGGGTGCAGACCATAGCCCAGAGATGGCCCCTGACCAAAGGCCTTCACTCTGCGAGCCAGGGTCAGCCCCAGATGTGTCCGGTTGTTGCTGACCTCAGCCCTGCCCAGGTCAGACCTCGCCTCATACTGCTGGATGGGTTCTCAGTGCTGGAGCATGGCTGCCCTGAGCCCCAGCCCCCAGCTGGAGAGCAGGAGTGGCTACGATGTCTGGAACACTGACTACCAGCTCATCCCTACCCAGCCTGCCCCCTTTGCACCTGGCCTGCCGACCCTCAGCCCCAGCGTCTTGTCACTGCTGAGCTGCGGAGGAGCCAAGGAGCTGGCGTGCATGACCCAGGTGCTCATGAGAAAACCTGGTGCAGGAAAGGGGGAGGCATACAGACCTAGGGTCTCTCTACTTCTAGCCTCCCTCCTCTCTCCCTGAGCAGGAATGTTTGCGTGCCTGCGTGTGCTTCCCACAGGCCGGAGGTATCACAGCTACATCTGGGGGGTGAGTGGAGGCATCTAAGCTGGCTCCCTTGGGCCTCCCTCAGGGCCTGTGTGCCTGTTCCCCCTGCCCCGGACCCCACCCCATGTGCCTGCATCTCCTCTCAGGGCTCCTCCCCATCCTCCCCTCAGGGCCCCTGTGTCTGCTGCCCCCTCCCTCTCTCTGCTCACCCTGTGTATCCCCTCCCATTGCCCCCATCTGCCCTGATCAGGGGCGCAATAAATGTAAATGGCTCGAGTGAACCCTGGACTCAGGAGCCAAGGGAAAGAACTGGGACTTAAACCCAAGATCTCAGACTCTTAAGTCCACAGCATATCCAACAACTTATGTCTGGGCGGCTTTCCTGTGATTTCCCAGAGAACCAGTTAGAGGAGGGCCATTGGGGTTCTGTAAAAGTCAAGGACACTGCCCACCAGGACTGGCCCTGTGAGTCCAGCCTAACATGTTCTTAACTGTGTCCTCATGGAGATTTGCCCTCAAGTCACTGAGGGGCCTGGACAAAGGGAGGGCTTGCTCCCCACCCCCGAACTCTGAAGCAGAGAGGGAGGTGAGCACACTTTGGGGATAAAAGCCTTTGTCCCCTTACACAACCCACTGAGACACAAGCAGAAAAGCCCACAACACGCCAGAGTCACGTCCATTTTCTTGTGGCTGCCCAGCTTCCACATCTTTGCTCTCAAAAGTACACACAGCCTTCCTCCACACATCCTTAAAGTTTTGGTTATGATGATGTTGTTAGGTGCTGTTGTATCAACTACAGCTCCTAGCGACCCTGTGAACACTATCCCTGAACCCTGCCCTATCCATAGCCATCTTCACCATCTCTGACACACCTGCCTCCAGTGACTGTGGCAATCCATCCCACCTGGGGTCTTCCTTTCCTGTGCTGACCTAACCTCCCAAACATGATGTCCTTCTCCAAGGACTCATCCCTCCTCGCACATGCCCAAAGGACATGAGACTAAGCTTCAAAATCCTGGCCTCTAACAAGCCACCTGGCTTCACACTCTATAGGACAGAACTATTTGTTCTCTTGGCAATCCACGGTATGTTCAGTACTCTTCTCCATCACCAGAACTGTTGTCATCCTTAGTCAATGTCCCGCTCTCTGATGCATAACAAGCAATTGAGAATACATGGCTTGGAGAGTCATGTAAAAATATAAACATTTGCCAATTCAACCTTCCTTCCCATTCCCCTACTTTCAAGACATCTTTATTTTAGTAGAAATCACTAGGGAAGGGATGGGGAGGAGAGTGCATGCATGAATGTAACCAATCTCTGTAAATCTTCACTAAAATGAAATTTTATATATATATACACACACACACACCATGTATGATAAGTTTTTGGACTTTTTTTAAAGGTAAGTGCAAGCCTTGGTCTTCCCCTCTCCAGAACACAGAGATGACAGAAAATATTGGGTCACTTAGAGTTGTACTCGGCTTGATGGCACCTACCAACACAGAACAAATGGACCATGTATGCCTCGGCCTCCACAGCCCTGAGACCAGAAGAGTCAAATAGTGCCTGGCTGCCACCGCTCACCACCCTGGAAGGGACCCCTCTTCAGATAGGGGGAACATGTGAGATGACTCTAGATCATAAAAATGGCCAGGCTTCCTGACCTGATAGGGACAGGGGGGACCAGAGACTGTGACCCTTAGCTAGCCTTCAAGCCTGGAGGCAAGCTCACTCCTGTGGCATTCAAACAGCAGATCGGTCTGTGGGGTGACCAGGACACCTGGGAATTTCAGATGGCATGTAATAGGGATGAGGCTCGGAGGCAGGGTTTGCAGGATGGAGGGGTGCAATTCAACCCTCTCATGGGCACAAGTGTTTTGGTGTGAGTTAAAACAGTGATGTGCAAACACCACCCACAGTCACTTCCAAAGATTGGGACAGAGCCGTCCAGGTAAGGGGAGAGTGGCTCCCAGGTAGGATGTGGCAGGCGTCAGCCGTGAACACACCACTGAGCTGTGTGGTCCTCTGGTGGGTGGTAGGGAGTTGACAGGCGTCCACGGTGAACAGCCCCTTCATGGCCTGCTAGTAAAGGAAAGACTGCAAAGCTGTTGAAAGGCAGGGCCTGAGGAGCTGACTCCTTGGATAGGACATCCCCACGCTGTGTCCTCCCCACGTGACGCTGTGTACTGCCCAGGTGCATGGTTTCAACTTTCACATTCACGCTACGTGAAATGGGAAAGGAGGGGGAAATTGTGGCTCCTGTGGGGTGAAAGTATGCCAGATGAGTGGGAGTCTGGCCCTCAGGCAATGAGGAAGCAGGGCTTGGGGTGCTGCTAGCAAGCACTGCAACAGCTGGGCGTCGCTGTCTTCCACGCCTCCTGACATCTGCCTCACCTGCTGCAGGCCCAGCAGGACCTGCATTCACAAGGTCACCTGGTTCCCTGCAGTGGGTCCTGCTTGCTGACCTCTCAGGGAAGTTCCTGTGCCGAGTCATAGGCTAGTTATTGTTGTGTGCCATTGACTCAGAACTGACCCATAGCTGACCCTCCAGCAGGTTTTCAGAGCCAGTAAATCACATGGGAGGGTTTCTCCCGCAGAGCAGCTGG